CAGTGGACACCTGGCTCCGTGTCAGCTTTCACCTCCCACACAGCACACTGACCAACGTGTACGCCTCAACCCAGGCAAACTTGGGCTGAATGCGCCAGCTGCAAATGGACAGATACCGTCTGGTCCCGCATGCGCTCACGACCCTCCGCGCACAGAACGTTCTCCTCCTCCTTCACGCCTCTGCTCACCCCGGACACCCATCAGCACCATGCCGGCCTATCCAGTCAGCAGACGTATCTTCCTCGGCTGTTTCCAGCAACCAGAAAAAGTTGTCTCTGTCGGCTTGAGCGTTTGTTGTGTTCTTGTAAAGAACACTCTACCGGGCAACAAACAGCACCTTGGAAGCTCAGCTGGGAAGTTCAGGAGGCAGTGCGTTTCTGCTAACGAGAGAGCAACAACTCGGAAAGGGAGTGGGAGAGTGGCGGTGCATTGGGGAGAACGCATCCAACGGCTCCGAGGGGCACGTGCAGGAATTGTTGGGCTGGTGCATGTTCTGCGGTGTGGAGGGTCAAAAGGCAAAGCTGTCATTCTGAGGACTCAGCGTGCCTGACTTGCTAAGTGGCGGCATTTTCCAGCACCTCATATGCACGTATACATCAGTAAACAGACTGATGAATAAGGGAGATGGAAGATGAGCAGCGTCCTTGGAGTGATGGTGCTGGGCCAGAATTTCAAATTAACCACGGACTGTCTTGGAAGAGATGGAACCAGAGTGCTCTTTAGAGGCGAGGGTGGGGAGACTTTGCCTCGCATTCTTTGGACACGTTGTCAGGAGGGACCGGTTCCTGGAGAAGGACATCATGCTGGGTAGAGGATCGTCGAAGAGGAAGCCCTGCAACCAGACGGAGGGCCACCCTGGCTGCGATGATGGGTTCAAACTTGGTGACGTGTGCGAGGATGGTGCAGGACCAGGTAGCGCTTCATGCTGCTGCGCACAGGGCCGTTCTCAGTCAGAACTGAATTGACAGCACCTAACGACTGCGGAGGACATTCTCAACAACAACAAAATCATATACGTGTGTATATATATATAAATGTATATATATCAGTAGGCACCTGATGTGTGTGTGTGTGTGTATATATATATATATATATATATATATATATATATATATATACACACACATACTTATTCTCCAGAAATAACGGATCCAATTAAGCCTGCCCAGGAAATCACTCTCAGACTCACCTCAGACTTTCCGGACCCTAGGAATAGGTGTCACACAGACTCTAATAACAGAGGGCCCTTAGGTAAAAATAAGATTTTGCAAAGGCTCGTGTTTGGAAAATTACACCGTGGTGTAATTTACAAAATTATAACCAGAGGAAAAGCTTGGGGACAAACAGCCTGTCCTAAAATAGCAAACCGAATAACCAGCGTCTTTAAATACTGTACGGAACATCATAAACAGTACTGCTTGATGAGCCAGGATGAAACGCATCCATTGGATTTAGAAACCAGGCGTGAACATTGTTTAGGAAACGCGGTTCCCTTTCTTTGAGTGAAAATAACCAGGGACAGAGATGGAATCCCAGGGTCAGCCTGGCTAGTTAACTAAGAAGGGGGCGTTTTCACTGTCGGTCTGCAGAGGGTAAAGGGATAGCTCAAATGGTGGCGCTAATGCCTGGACCGCGCTAATGCCTGGACCGCACTCATCCCAGAGCCAGGCTGCATGTCTGTGGCGACCATTGTGGCCCACCGAGTCCCTGGAGCTCTCACACGCCCTCCTCTGCCTGGCCCTGCTGGTGCCCAGGAAGCTCCCCTCTCGGACATGTGCCCGGGGCTGCCTGGAGCAGATGGGCAGGAATGGGTATGAGGCGGCGGCTTTCCCACCACCCCTTTCTCCTACAGTCCCCTTGCTTCCCCAGGGTCTGGCCGCAGCTGTGGCTCCTCCTGAGTGGCCCCGGTCCGAGACTCCAGCTGCTGCTCCACTCAGGCCTGTGGTAGCTCCTCGTTCCCGGGCCCTCCACATTCCTTGTTCCAGCCACCCAAGTCCACGGTCACCAAGTTGATTCTGACTTGTGTCGGGTTCCCAAGACAGTAACTCTTTATGGGAGCGGACAGTCTCATCTTGCTCCTACGGAGAGTCTGGTGAGTTTGAACTGCTGGCCTGGCAACCCTGTAGGGCAGAGAACTGTCCCTCAGGTTTCTAAGGGCTGTGTTCATTATGGAGCAAACGCATCTGTTTCCCAGAGAAGGTGGGCTGGAACTGCCGACGTGGCAACCCCACAGGACAGCGTTTAACGCACCATGTAATCTTTATGGAGGCAGACAGCCACTTCTCTCAAGGGGTGGCTGGCCGTGGGAACTGCTGACCTGCTGATTAGCAGCCAGGTGCTTAACCACCCACCGTGCCACCAAGGCTCTAGTGAAACACTACACACCCACTGCTTCGGGGCAGACTCTGTCTCAGAGTGACCAAGTAGGGCAGAGCAGAATCGCTCCTTATGGTTTCTGAGCCTGTACATCTTCACGGGAGCAGAGAACCTCATCTTTCTCCCATAAAGTGGCGGCTGGTTTCAAACCGCTGACCTGGCAATTAGAAGCCCACAAGACCTTGACCTTGCAATACACACAAACCAGGTCACCGGGGCCCCAAATAAGAACCGTATCCACCTGTTTGAATCTGCCTACACATTCTTAAAGACGCCTTCAGGTCCTGATCTTATAAAGTCACCCAGGAGCCCCTGTACTTGCTGTGTGTGGTAGGAGTTAGGAATCTGCAGAAAGTGGGTTGAGGAGGAAGAAATGGTCTAGGCTATGGTCACCCAAACCCGCTTCCCCGCTTGTTCTCACTGGGAAAGTCTGTCACCGTGGTGGTGCTCCTCTGTGCACGGATGTCACAGTTACCGAGAAAATAAGACCCACTAAACACACACACACACACACACACACACACACACACACACACACACACACGAGCAACATCACCCTGCGTGTGCATCAAAAACTCCAGTCCATCCCCTCTCTGGAGGTTAGATTTTTTATGCCAATCTGCTGGTAACTGTTGGAGTCGGGCAGTCCCACCTGTCAATCAGGTGGTAGCCTGGTGACACTTTGGGGTCTGGCTTTTTCTAAGAGGGAACTGGAAAGCCCTTGTGGGGCCTTCCGCTCAGCCTCCTCCTTGCTCAGATGCTGTGCCTGCTTCCAGGAGTGGCCCCTTGTGGGTCTCCCCCCCAGCCCCCCAATGCTGGGAGCTGCATCTCGCCATGCCCCCCACCTATCTCGCATCTACTCGATTTGGCAACCACCAGCCTGTGACCTCCCTGCTTCCCACGTCACCTTTCTATGGAATTGGCCCGCGGCTGCATGAGTCTGAGGGGGGCTCCGCTAGCCATAGACCTGCGGACTTGAGTGGGCTGCCTCCTGATGAAAAACTCCCGTCTTGCTATGAAAGCTCTTCCTTGTACATCTACGAGTGGCACTGGTTTGTTTCCAAGACAACCAGCCTACCGTAATCTTCTCCATATCCAGTTCTTAATCCTGGTTTTCATATTTCTATTTAAGCAGCCTTTTCAAGTCTGTTCAAGAACTCATGTAGGCTGGAACTTCCCAATTGGATTTATGGTCTTTCTCTGGACCCCACAGTAGGAGGCCCTCCCGATGGCCCCATGTGAAGTGCTGCCACCATCTCCCCATGCCCGTTGACACCATCCTTGGTCAAGTCCACCAGTCCGAGTCCAAGCCTCAGCGCTACACCACTGTAAACTTTCTTCCTGGGAAGGGCATTTCTGCTGCTCAAATATCCCAGGACTTTTGTCACTGGGCATTGGGTAGGACTGCATTTCCTGTCCCCAACAGCCCAATACGCATCCCATGGATCACATGACTGCTTTCGGCCAATGAGTTTCAGAACTGATCGAGTGTGTCACTGGTGGGTCCCAGCATCTTCGTCCTTGCCCTCTGCCTCGGTGGGGTCCTGCAGCGTTCGTGACAGTGGGGTAAAGGGCCAAGGAGACACGAAGCAAGGTCTCCAGTGAACCCACGATGAACATCAATGTGAGCATGATGACAAAGCCTCAGGGCGATAAGCCATTAGGATCGAAGGTCGATGCCACAGCGTTCCCTGCCTTCACCCCGTACATTCCACTGCCACCAACTCCCCTAGTTAGGCCACTCCCACCCAAATAACTCGCCTCTCATGACCGGAGAGGACAAGCCCTTCACCTGTCCGTCACAGTTCTTTGTAACTTGGCCTGCGCCTACTCTCCCAGCCTCAGCCATCCTCTCCCGAGTGAATGGGCTTCCTAGCAGCTCACTGCACCGCATGTCCCCTTCTGCTACCTCTGGTCCCTCTAGCGCTTCCTTCACAAATGTGCACACCGAGCATCTGCAGCCCATGGAGGTGTGGATTGCTGCTCAGTGCGCATTTCGACCCAAGGATTTCATCCCTCTCCACGAAGCCTACCCAGTGTCTGCTGTTGCCGGTCTTAGCTGCCACCGCATCAGCCTGACTCAGGGTGACACCTTGCACAATGGGACCAATGGCTGCCATCCCCTGGATGCTCACTGGCCGATTCTGTCCGAATCTTAGTCGGGAAGCTGATGGAACCTGTGCGGCACCACGGACATACGCAGGCCTCCGCTGGTGGAGGAGTGATCACTGCCCAGTGCTGCCTCCTCTTGACAGGACTCCTCTCAAGCCCAAGTTGGCTCTTCTGGGTTTGTCCTCCCTGACTTCCAATCTATCTTTCACCTCATTATCCCTGTTCTGAACTCTGATGTCCTCAAGTTCTACGTTCCAGTTCACCAATTCGCTCTTCAGCTGAGCCACCCGGAAGTTTCACCCGGGGGCTGCAGCGTCACAGGACGATTTTCTCCTCTGGGTTTTCTGTCTTCATGTGGGTCCCCCTGGGCGTTTTCCTGATTCTCTTGCACACTCGGGTGTTCGATAGATGTGTGCTTAACATATTTCTAAGCATTTCTGGATACTTAAAAGTCAACAGACTGACACTGGGTTCTTATAAAACACCGTACTTCCAAAAACAAGAACGTGGCATCCGGTTTTGCTCATACGTTTTTTATTTGTGGAATAAATGTGTATCTGTTGATATGTACATACACACAGAGCGAGCGCTAGGTTTGAAAAGTAAGAAGATCTGGTTCTGGATCCTCAGCGGCCACTGCCCAGGCGAGGAGGGCTGAGAGCTCCGCTCCCTCCACCGCTCGTTCCCACGAGGGCGGGGCGGGTGGGACCTGCGCAGGTGGCTCACCGCACAGGTTTATTGCAAGGTTCAAGGTCAGGAACATCCGAAAGTGCCAGGAGTACAACTTGGAGCCGTACAAATATAAATATAACACGTAACAGTCATTGGATTTCAAGTTGAGGAATGCTTGGTCATGCCCTTGGGTAACACCGATGGAATCGAATACAACGAGGAAAGGTGACCAAAGGGGAGAAAGACTGAAAAAAATATTAAAAAAATAAGCCGACCGCACACAGGAAAAACAAACAAACAAATGCCCGTTCTGATGAGCAGGAAGGTCCGCACACTGCCGTGCAGACGCGGTCCTGTCAGGGAGGGATCACTTCATAAACGCCCGCCACCCCCACGCGCTCACAGAAGCTGGGCAGGGGGGCAGGGTGAGGGGGCGGTGTCGTGTTGTGGCGTGTTTATTTACATACGAAATGTATTCCATCCAGTCGCGAGATGGATGTAGCACACAACACCACACCTGACAGCAGCAAGTCCTTCTGAGAACCCAACTACAGTACGTCATGCAAGGCCCGATATATACACAAAACACCTCTTTTTAAAAAAAACAAGACCGGAGAAGTACAAAATATGTTCAGGGATACAGACGAGATATAAAACGGCGAAAATAAATCCAGAAGAAACATAGACCCCCCCAAAAGAAACCAAAAAACCTAACTCTCTCCCCGAGAACTATAAAGGCAGGGGAACAGGTGCCACATTTCAAGGAGGCAGAGCTGGCCCAGGTGAGATCGGCCATGGGAATGACCGGGGGAGAGCCGGGCTGGCGGCTCGTGCGGAAGATAATGGCCGTGGTAGAGGCTGCATTGCTAAGTTGGTGGAGAAATCCCGGCTTGGGGTGCCGGGACATTTTGGCAGTAGCACCTGGACAGGATACGCCAACTCTGTGGACAGCCATGGGTTAAGTCGACAGTGCTTAGCTGATGTACCTAGTTTTCTGTCAAGAGCCAGAGAAATACTTGATATTCTTATAGTCGTGTCTCGGTAAGAGTTAATAAGTTACAAGACAAAAATCTGACTATATAAATCGAGCGACCTAACTACGGACTTGTAACTTTTAGAGGAAGCCCAGCCCTTTCCTACTGTATCCCTTGTGATCTTCAAACCAGCCTTGCAAAGGGGTCCAGATGACTCCCAGCCCCCTAAGTCTCACTCTTGATTCGGCTGCTCTCTCCCTGTCCCTGCAGATGGCATTAAGGAGACCCCCCATTCCATCCTGGGCTCAGCTGTCCCCACTGGGAAGAAGCGATTTGCAAGGCTGCTTTGAACACCGTGTGGTGTGGCCCGAAATAGCCACTTGATGCACTTGTGTGGGGCTGCATCTCAGGTGTGCACACCTGTGGGCCAGGTGTGTCTGAGCTCTGGCAGAGCAGGCACCCTGAGGCTAGTGCTAAGACACTTGAAAGTTCCTAGGTGTTTTTGAGACCCACGGTCACCTACAATTTATGTAGGGAGTTCTAAGAATTAAAAACACTAAAAAAGGCGCTATCTTCGCCAGCCATTAGTTAACCCATTTAAATTCTTAAGTTATAAAAGGGTTTATTCGGAGTCAGGAATTGCCCCTTGGACTAAGAACGCTGTGTAAAACAAAACGATACAAAACGGAAAAATCCTAACCCATCCCTAGGTCCCTCCCCTGCCCTCCCCCCCAAATAGACTCAAAAACGTTTTTCCACTAAATACTGATACAAACATGTAACAAAGAGTATAAAAAGTTATTCATTTAAATATATACAAACTCTTTTAAACTCAAATACTGTTTGAATACTTATCGTAGAGGGTAGAGACCCCCGGGTGACGCGGGGTGGGCCGGAGATCAACCTAGACCATCCTGGGAACTATCGCATAGCCCACCGTCTGTCTGTACCAGAAATGTCTTTTGTCTCCCAGCTCGGCCGGGTTTTCCCTAGTGGGCCGCGGCAGCTACTTCTCGGCGGAGCTCATTCTTTTGGATTTGATGAAGGCCATGCCGTGTGTCCGCATGTGAGTGTTTAAGGAAGCTTCCGTTTCAAAAGTCTTGGCGCACACTTTGCACTTCCGGTCGGACAGGGTGCCATCGGCCGTGTCGTCCTCGGCGCCGGGCTTGGCCTGCGTGCCGTCCTCACCGGCACCGTTCTGCTTGGACACGGGCTGCGGCTCCTTCAGCTTGTGCACGATGAAGAGGTGGCGGGACAGGGAGACGTGGGATGTGTAGCACAGGCCGCACTCGCGGCACTGGTAGGACGAGCCGTCGGACTTGTGCTGTGGGATGTGTTCGTGGAACTGCAGCAGGTTCTCCGTGGTGAAGCCGCACACCGCGCACTTGTGCACCTTGAAGACGTTGATCTTCAGCTTCTTCAGCGGCTGCGTGATGGCCCCTCGGGGAGGTCTGAACTCCAACACCGGTTCTTCCAACTTCCGCTTCGGGCTGGGGGCCTTGGAGAAAAACAAGACAACAAGGGGCACGGTTTACAGCCGTTCGGCTGGGCTGCTGGGGAACGGCCACTTCACCCTGACCCGAGCACCACGGGGCAAGCACACCCACGACACCCAGGGACCTCCGTGTTTGCACTTGGTGCTGCCACCCTGGAGGCGGCCACCGGCCTCTTACCCACGCCACAAACGTGGCCCGAGTTCCTGCTCTGGCCAGTGAACAGCCAAGCCCTGCCTCCGAGGGACGGAAGGTCCCCGAGAGTGAGACAGACAAAAATGAACCAAGATGCAGGTGGTACGTCAGAGTAGGACACGGGCTACCTCGCTTCCGAACACAGCGGTCCTACAGGACGTTTCGACGGAGCAGAAATGTCCCCGAGTTCTCAAGGCGGTAAGTCTTGCAGAAGCAGATGCCTCGTCTTTCCCCTGCTGGGTGGCTGGTGTTACCTGAACTGCCATCCTTTCAGTTGGCAGCTCAGCACTTAGCCATGGTACCCAGGGCACAGTGGAGGAGTTGGGAAGCAGTGGGCACGTGAGCTGCGAGGCAGCCAAAGGAAGCTGTTTTCAAGGCACAAGGGGCAGGACCCGTCTGCAGGCAGGAGCAGCAGGGCCTGTTGCTGAGGTGAGTGGAGGGCTCCAGTGCCGTCAGCTAGCACCTTGTGGGAGATGAGTCGGGCTTTTGCTTGGACTGAAACAAGAAGGAGAGACCCCAGACGATTCACCTGAAGCCACAGGAAGTGACAACTCAACTTCTCTCGGGGAACGACCGTAACGTACAAATGAAGAACCAAGCTCACTGCCATCGAGTCTTGGCCCCATCAGAGCGAGCCAGGGGACAGGGTAGACCCACCCATGTGGGTTTCCGAGACTGTAACTCTTTCCAGGAGTAGAAAGCTTCTTCTTTCAAATTCCTCTAAGAGAAATTGGGCCCGTCTGATACCCTAGCCTTGGCAAACTGAAGTCAAAAAGCTCTTCCGGACCTCATCTGCTAGGTTCTGTGGGATGTAGGATAGATCAGGCCCTGACCCTCAAGGTGCCCAGCAGTTGGGGTCCCTGGTGAGCCAAGGCGGAGGGACACAGAAGGCCTACTGGACAGGATGGGGATCAAAGGCGTCTCTGGGGTGAAGCCATTAAAGTTGAATCCCAAGGGGTGGTGGACGGGGAGGGAGAAGGTGGGGGTTAAGCTGGCAAGAAGGGAAGCCCAGGTAGAGAACAAAGCGCCACGCACGGGGTATGGGGTGGCAGGTGGGTGTCCCAAGCCCCCTGTCCTCTCAGCTTCTTCCTAACACAGCTTGCTCTGGGTCGGGGACCCGACCGTAGCCCACGGAGCTGGCCTCCACCTTCACTTTCAGGAGGGGCTCTGACTGGTCCCATGGAGAGCCCCGCCCAGCGGCTAGCTAGGAAGGGTAGGTAATCTGAGGAGGCTGTGAGATGGGGCAGAGGAGGAGCCAGAGAAGTGTGCAGAGGGTCAAGGTGGACAAGGGCACAGGCCCCGTGCAGACTCCAGGGGTGGACTCAGGTCACCCTGGGCGGAGGTTCCTCCGGGACGATGCTGGCACAGGTACCAAAGATTTACAACAACAGCAAGCTTCATCAAGCCTTCCCTTTTCCACATGCAAATGTCCCCGAAATAGGGTTTCCTTACAACGAACAGCCTGCACTAGTTCAGCATAACTGGCGCCAGGCTGTCCTACTTCAGGCACATAAAATGACACTCTGCCACACAACTGATGGCACAACCTCAAGACTCAGGGAGACACCCTCTTTTGGGACTCCGAACTCAGCTTGGAGCCAGGGATAGAAACCCCAGTTCCCAAGAGGGGAGAGGGCTTTCCAGTGGCAAGAAGCCTCACCAGCCCCGGCTGTGCCGGTCTTGGCGGTGGTGGGGGGGTGGGGGGCACAGACAGCACGTTGGTCCAGGGACCACTCCCACCACGTCACGTGGCCCCCCTCCTTCCTTTCCAGCTCGCAGACTTCCATCACCTGCAGCCTCCCCCCACCCCCGGCTCCAAGGTCTCCCAAAATTCCAACCAAGGTCACTTCCCCTCCTCCTCTCCAAGCCTGTGGTTTCCGCAGCTCCGCAGCATCCTTCCTACAATGTCCAAAGCTGATGCCTGCTCCTGTGCCCCCTGGTGGCTGTAGGGCAGGCCAACGAGTCAGGCTTCCCCACCAGCCTGGCTTCACCCATCAGACCTAGCTTTCTAGCTCCCAATCCACAGCCAAACCCTCAACGCTCAGGGCAGGGAACCCAGGCGTACTCTTTGACACACACTCCCCTGCTAGCGCCCGGCCCACACGACCACTTGTGCACAGACCAAAGTGCTTTCTGCTGTCTGGTTAAAGTTCACTACCCGTCTATACGCAACCGCAGTGTAAACACGTGGTTTCACGCGTGCCAGGCCTTATACGAGATACTGCTAACCACCCGGGGCAGCCCTGGTGGCGCAGCGCTTATGCGCCCAGCTGAAAGGCAAACCGTTTGAACCTAGCAACCAGCTCCAAGGAAGAGAGAGGAGACAGCCTGCTTCTATAAGGGTCGGCAGGCAGTTCCGTCCGACACGGCACCGCGGGCAGGAATCCACTCAACCACAACTGAGTGTGGTCTTGTTTGGGGTGTGATGGCCAGTCAGTCTCCAATGAAAAAGAGAATCTATCTTACACAAAGAAATGCAAAATGTACACGCGTCGCGTCATCAGGAAAGGGCCAGGAGACAAGAGGAAGACCCTCAAGGGGACGGATGATGCAGTGGCCACCACCACGAGCTGGGTCCCAGAGGTGCACGGGAGGCAGGAAGGTTGTGTGCCGCTGTCCACGGCGCCAACTCAGCACGGCAGGACCACTGCATGTGAGCAGGAAGCTTGTTCGGGAAGGATAGAGAAGGAAGCTGAAGAAGAGTGGCGTTGTAGGAGAAGGGGAGGGTCAGAAGGGGGGTCTGGGACATTAGCTATGATTCTATACCCCTGTTCTGGGGGTGACACGTTGGGCTGCTAACCTCCAGGTCAGCAGTTCCAAACCACCAAGCACCCCATAACAGAAAGCCAGACTTGCCACTCTGGTAAAGAGTGGCAGTCTCGGAAACTCACAGGGGCGGCCCTACCCTGTCCTACAGGGTCACTATGAGTCTACTCGATGGCAGTGAGTTTGTATTTTGCTGTCATTTTCCTCTAGTCATAGAAGCCCTGGTGGCATCGTGGGTTATGCACCGAGCTGTTAACCACCAGGTCAGTGGTTCAAGCCACTGGCCGTCCTCGTGAGAACAATGAAGCTCTGTACCCCTGTGCATATTTAAAGCCTGAGGAGCCCCCAGGGGCCTCTCCACCCTGTCCTCTCTAGGGATGCGATGAGTCAGGGCATCAAGAGAGGAGGGCCTTGGACAAGATGGATCGACGCGGTGGCTGCGCACGGGCTCAACGATCAGAACCACGGTGAGGAGGGCGCAGGACCGGCGTCTCGTCCGGTGGCACTTGGGGCCGGTGAGAGTCGTGAGCACCTGACAACGAGTCAGAAAGATCTCGGTGATCCTATTCCTGCGGCACAGCCAGCGCCGGCCACACACTCCGGCTCGCGGGGTTAACCCACCCACCGCCGCCCTCTGTGGGAGAAAGACGAGGCCGTCTGCTCCTACAAAAGATCTGCTCTCACGAGGGTCCGTGGGGTCGACTGGGGGGTGGGAGGGGGCTGGGTGGGGGATTCACGGTTCGCAGGATCACAGAGCGTGTCTACAGGGACTGGGAAATGCAAGTGGGCAGGACTCGGCGGGCCGGCAGGCGTGCGTCTGCTGCGTCCAAGCCGCTGACCTTGGCGTCCTCCTTGACTTCGGCGTCCTCCCCATGGGTGCCATCCGCCATCTCCTGCAGGTCGGGGTCCTTGATACCGTGCATCAGCTGGATGTGCTTCTCCAGCATCAGCCGCTTCGTGAAGGTGCGTCGGGAGTCCGGGCAGTGCCTGTGGAGCAAAGGGCAGCAAGGTCACCATGCGCTGACCCCACCACTTCGTGCCGGAGAGATCCCACCCGCCGCTCAGAGAGCCGCTCGGCCAGCCAACAGGATGCCTGGAGGGGTCAGTGACGGTGCAAGAGCCCCAGCCCCAGGAGGAGCAGCAAGCAGGCCAGGAAGGTCGGTTCTAGTAGTGACAAGGGCTCCTCAGCTTTGGTGAAAACATGGTCACATGCTCGCCACCATGGATATGCGGATGGTTGTAGGGGCTGTAAGACCCCCAGTAAGACGGTTTATTAAAAGAAATGAAAGGGAAAAAGCAAGGTCAGTATAGGCCTTCTTGGACTGGCCGAGTTTGGCTCAGAAGGACTATGTTCAAGGGTTGGCTTGATGTAGTGCTTGAATGTCACTCAAACATCTACTTCTGGGTGGCTTTGATTTTTTAAACTGGAAAATGAAGCTTCTGAAGAGATCCCCGTAGGATGACTCCAAAGGTATTCCGCAGAATTTAATAGGACAGAGACCCTTTCACAGGAAGTTGGCCCAGGACTCCTCGCGCCTTCCTGCCCGCTCTGTCAGCATGAGGGAAGGCAGGGCTCCCAGGCTGGCAAATGCTTCCTCCAAGCACCAATCCAAGATGCACACTCATCCTCACCTGCTTACCCCTTCGACTAGCTACCATCTAGAGAGCCGTGAGCAGGTACCCCAAATAGCTCGGTAAAAAGGAAAAAAGGGGGGACAACGGCTGTGTAAAAGCGAGTTCCTGAAGATACAATCGAGTATGATTCTAAAAAAATCCACAAAAACGCTACTGTAGCAAAACCGTAAAACGTGAAACGACTCACTGCCGTGGAGTTGATGCTGCTGACCCTCAGTGACCCTGCAAGACAGAGGACAACTGCCCGCTGTGGGTTTCCCAGACTGTCACTCTTCATGGGAGTAGAAAGCCTCACTTTTCTCCCTCAGAGCGGCTGGTGGTTTCAAACTATTGACCTTGAGGTTAGCAGCCCAACGTTCTGGCTGGGCTGTAAAAACCCTCACTGCTGAGTCTCCCCCCACTCATCACGGCCCACAGGGGCTCCCAGGCTGTAAATACTGTCAGAGGCACACTGCCTCCTCGAGCTCCCACAGAGCGTCTGCTGGGTTTGAACTGGCGGCCTGTTGGCTAGTGGCCGGATGCTTAGCCCACTGTGCTACCAGGGCCCCTCTGGTGTGTAGGTGATACAGATTTGTCAGCGGTGACAATGAAGTAGCTCATGACCACCCACTGAGGGGCTAGAGGTTTGGCCTTCAGCCAATGTCATGGACTGCAAAAAAAAGATGCTGCCGATGCTAATGGATGGGCTACCGTCAAGGTGGGGAGGCCCAGCATGGGCTCAAGTGCCCACGCGACCAGAGTGTCCTCCGGGTCAGAGTCCAGCAGCCAGCCTCAGGGGCTGCTGGCAGGAGTGGTATGTGCCGGGACTAGGCATGTCTCACTCATCCTACCCCGCACCTGCAAGCCCGCCCCAGCCTTGGAAGCCAAGCCATACCCCACACTGCTGGGTGACAGGTAGGAAATTATACCAGGCATGCGGAGGGTTTTTTAAGTATTACCATCCAATCAGAAAAGGGCAGGCCCACGCAACTGCAAGTCAGTAAGAAACACCAGGCTACCAAGGAGGTCCTCGTGGAAAGGGGCGGGCACGCAGGATGGAGGGCAACTGTGAGGGAGAGACCTTCCCTGAAGCTGTGAGGTCCCAGCGTCACTAGGGCTCCCGGGCTCCCTCAGGAGGCAGGCGCTGGAACTTACGAGCAGGTGTACACTTTCCTGATGCCCTTGTGCTTGATCCGGTTGTGGCGGCACAAGCTGTGGGAGGAGCTAAAGGACTTGTCACACTGCCGGCAGGGGTGCTTCTTCATTTGCTAAATCAGGAGAGAGGAGAGAGATGCTTACAGAGCGGCAACAACAATGCCCGCAGAGTTTTGATACAGAGGAGGTGGGGCGGGGAAAGGGCTGGTTGCAAGAGGGCCAGGCAAACTTAACTCTAAAACACTGGAATGTCCTCTCAAAAGAAAGACACCCCCCCAGGCACAGTCATGGGAGCTACAATAACATGAGGGGAGGGGGACGGTGAGATAAGGGGAACCCACCACAAGACTGGCTATATAGTTCCCCCGCCCACTGTGGAGGGGGTGAATAACAGAAATGTGGGTGAAGGGAGACAGTGTTGAGATACGACATAACAGTAACAATATATAAATGATCAAGGACACAGGAGAGGGGTGGGCGGAAGAGGAGCTTATAACAAGGGCTCAAGCAGAAAATGTCTTGGAAATGATGATGGCAACACATGCACAAATATGCTTGATCACACTTGATGTGTGGCATGTTATAAGAGCTGTAAGAGCCCCCCAATAAAATGATGGGAAGAAAAACAAACAAAAAATAAACAAGGAGTCGGGGGCGCACTTAAGTGCTTGATTCGATATACAGGTATTGACGGCATATGAAAACGTGACACCAGTCTTCTTCACAGCATGACGGCCTTTTCTAGCTTTGGTTTCAGCAGCTACTGCCGGAAACCAGACCGTGCCACCAGCTATCAAATAAACCCATTGCACGTTGATTGGCGTATCCAGAAAGAATCCACACTCTTCTTCAATGTGCTTGCCCTACAGATGAGATCGCTCACCAAGCTCAAAGAGTTCAAACCATTTCCCCTTTGTAATTAACTAGTTATTATATAAGGGAATGAGTTCCCAGGAGACGTCTCCATTTAAGTAGAAAACAAAAGTGTGGAACCACCATGCACTGTGTGTGTGTGTGTGTGTGTGTGTGTGTGTGTG